AGCATTCCTCTTATCTTTTACGTTCACCAATGCCTTATTCGTTATCTAAATGATTCCCCCCCCCCAAAAAAAAAAAAAAAACACACCTGACAAAACAATCGATCATTTTTTTCCATTCTATTGGATCTCAAAGCAGATTGTTATTTATTCATCCTTGGGTACCATCAATACACAAGGATGGTGCAAAGTTGCGGTTCATGTCAGGAATTGAGGTTAGGTTATTTGTGTTATTGAGAAAGATATTTAAGACCCAGCCCTAAATAATAAAGGACAAACAGATATAGCGTTATATAATACCATAGACGGCAGAGATAAGACCTAAGGATTTTCGTGTAACCTGCACGTATTTTAGGTATACGAGCACATAGCTTTTAGCTCATATTGTTGACCCCAGCGCTTAATGGCTTCCAATGCTATAATGCATAACCACAGACACTTCACGGGCATTGCAAATCATGAATTTATATATATTATACTCACATATGCAGGTAGCTTAAATATATTTGGCTTTATTTACCAAAAATGCTATAATGCATAACCACAGCACAACATTCACGGGCATTTAGCAAACATGATTCCCAGGTACGTATCATCGAGAAGGCCACATACACTCCACTCACCTAACTTATTTTTAACACACAGTCAATCTAATATGTTCGATATAGATATAACATTGTGAATTATATTTATATATAATATTGTGATACACTATTGGTATATATTATTTTTTTAGTAATTATTAGAATTGACATCGGGTATATGGGCTAGGATTAAGATGTAATTTCTGGGAATTGGCAATAAGGACGGTGATTTTCGTAAGTTTTGAATAACCTATTTTTATTCTATTTTGCTTTCAATGTTGTGTAGACTATTTTGATATGGATATAATATATATTTTATAGATAAGACATAGATAAAAAAACACATCACAACCTACACACAGTCACACATCACACACAATATATATTACATTTAATATATTATATTATATATATTAATTGATTAATATCTATTTAGTATATTTATTGATATTATTTTATATATTGGTTATAAGTTTTACATAATATATATTAATATATATCATATTATAACACTAACAACCTATCACACACTAATAAAACACACACTATTATAGTATATATATATATTATATTAGGATATTTTATACACTACACCTTAACATCACACACTATCCACCATCACACATAGCTACACACACATACTAACACAATACAATCACACATATTTTATTAACATGTATATTGGTTTACAATAGTATATAATATTAATACATTGTCAATATTCATTATAATTTCATTAGACATTTTATATATATTTAATATATATATATTTATTAAATATTATATATTATTATATATATATATATATATTATAATATTTAATTAATTATATTAATATATTATATATTTTATTAAACTGCTGTTGATTGGATGTGTCGTCGTTTTTAGTTTAGTGCCTGTTGGCGGTGGGTGTGGTGGTGGTATTCTGTGTGGTGTGTGCTGTGGTGTGTTCTGTGTTTTTAGTAGAGATGTGTGGTGTGTGTATGCTGTGTGATGATTGTGTTGTGTGTGTTACTGTGTATATTATTAATATTGTGTCATATTCTCCCTTTCTTTTCATTTCTTTTTCCTTATTAACTCTATCATACATATATAGTATATATATTAGTATATTATATATAATACAGGTTATATTATTTCCTTTCAATTTTATTCGCTCCTCACACACACACACTCATGTTGAGGAGTAAAACTACTTTATCAATGGAAACTAAACACATAACAACACATACACAACACTCAACATACTAACATACATCAACATCACTATTATATATATATCACACACACACACACACAAACACACACACACGCAGAGCACACACAATCATCACACACACACAACGAACACACACACAACACACACACACACACACAGCCACAGGCACCCGAACTATTTTCGGAGACCCAGAGATATTTTCCTATCCTACAAACCGGGGCGCCGTAGCATTTCGTGTCCTCTCTCAGCACAAAGGTGTGTCAGCCCGGGATTGAGCAAAGATAAGGGTGGGTAAGTTAAAACTGGGTCAGGGGTGTGCTCCTGAAACAGCTGATAACAAGAGGGTTCTGCCATTGATGTAACTTGCGTCGGCTGAACTGGTAAAGCGCGAACAATATAGACGGCAAATGAAGGTATTATCCCGCTCATAAGGTCAAATTCATGGCTCATTGAGAACAATACCGGGAACAGGCCTATCTTTATTTGTTTATGATTTATCTGAAATATGAACAATCTTGAACGGTTCTGGGGTTTCTTTCTTTTCTGTTTTATTATTTTTTTTTTTCACCAGAATCCGCAATTAGGCTGTTAGGTAAGGATTTCCTCGGTGGTTGGTTTGGTTGAAGAGAATGCGGTGGGAGGAGACTGTTCAAGGCGGCACTTTGGATTCTCTCTCTGACTGTCTCTCCCCTCCATCTCTTTTCATTCTTCTCTCTCTCTTCATTCTCTCTCTCTCTCTCTTCTCGCTTCGTCTCGAATCTGCTTCATTCTCTTCTCTCGTCTCCTCTCTCTCCGTCGTCCTCTCTCTTCTTCGTTTCTCTCTCTCCTCGTCTTTCTCTCGTCTCTCTCTCTCTCCTCTCTCCTATCTCTCATCTCTCTGTCTCTCTCTCTCCCTTCTATTCTCTTTCTCTTTCTCGTCTATCTCAACTTACATTTCGCCTCTCTCGTCATATCCCCTCTCTCCCCAGTGCTCTTCCTCCTCTCCTCTTCTGCCGTGGGCTCGGGACTCTACATATCTCTCGCTACTCCATCGTCTCCCCCAGTCGCCCCTCAATCTCTTCGTCCGGTCTTCCCCCCTGCGCCTCGTCCCAGTCCTCAGCTTCGCCCGCTTCTCGTTCTCTCTCTCTCGGGATTCTCCTCTCTCCCGATCTTCTCTCCCCTCGTATTGCTCTGTCACTTCCTCTCTCTCTTCTCAATACTTTCTTCTCTTTCTCTTTCTCTCTTTCCTCTTTCTCTCGTGGCTCTCTGCCTCTTTCTCAGTCTCTCTCGTCGTCTCTCTTCTCTCTCTCTATCTATCTAATCTATTCTTACTATTTATCTTTATCTTCTTCTCTCTATTCTCTCTCTTCCTTCCCTCCCTCTCTCTCCCTCGCTTCCTTTTCCCTTCCTTCCTTCTTCGCCTCCCCATTTCACCCTCTTCTCCCTCCCCCTTCTCAGTCTCCTCTTCCTCCTCTCTCTCCAATATGGATGACACTAAGTAATAAGAGTAAAAAAGGTAATAGTGATTACTACTATACACTACTACTACTAATAATAATAATAATAATAATAATATTATTATTTATAAGAGAAGAAGACCAATAAAATAATGATGCAAAAATAATAATAGTTATACAATAATTTAATGATAATATAAATTAAATAATGATAATAATGACAACGACAAGTAATAATAACAACAAATGCAACAAAATTTCGTTCATAAAAAGAGAACAAAATCAAACAAGAAGCCTTCTTCCCACCCCAGGCCGCCTGCCGCCTGCCTCTCATTCTGCGAAAGCCGATCGCGGGCCCATGGCAACGGCCTAACCTGTTGCCACAAACAATGTGTGAGGTGTGAGTCAGGCGCCACAGGGAACCCTCGGTTATTCAGCATAAAAAGAGGGACGTGTGATTCTTTTCTTTTTAAGGGTCATGTGATTTCTTTTTATTCTTTTGTTTGTGTGTTACTCTTTATGTCGAAAGTGTTACTTAAGGAGCTCTAAATGTTTATTAGTATTATTAGGTACGGTATGTATGCAGGCACGCGATGCACATAAATGTATATACGTAAGCTAGGATACATACAAAATTACATGCATACATACATATGCCGCGCACACACCACGCGCGCGACACATTAACATACCAGACATACATACACACTACACACACACGCACACGGCACACGCACAGACACCGCACACACACACAACAACACAACAACACACACACACACACACAACACACCACACTATTTCCACGAAGTGGACACACACACACACACACACACACACACACACCACACAACACACAGTAAACAGTCACACTCACACAAACACCACGTATCACCCAACAACACAACATAACACACAGACATACACACCCAGTGTTGTACACACCAGATTGATTGCATTAGACATGTAGTACACACACACACACACACGGCACCCCCCCAACACACACACAAATGATACACATTTCGTCCATATTTACATACACCGACACATGCATACACGTCTCACATTTATAATGTATATAATATGTAAGCACACACCATCTTTTGCGTGTATTACATACTATATGTAACAAAACACGTCAATGCACATTTGTAATGTTACGGGTGTATATATAATGTATTGTGTACACACAGATTACTACAGAACAAAATCCACAAAAAACACAAAAACACAGTACATATCGCGCTTAAAATACATACCTACCATGCAAAACACGCGCGTACATAAATTTAATATGTGTAATATATATATAGATCGCACACCACACAGCTACCTCACAGTACACAGTTACACATCTTATATTTGCGTCAGCTACACTCACAACACACACACAGTACAACACACAGCTACAACAAAGTGTTCTGAGACACACACGTCTCTCTCTCTCACTCTCCTCCTCATTGTGGCGTCTCTCTCTTCTCTCTCTCTCACACATCAAAGTCACAAAAAGCACATTTCATACACCATCACACACACACATAAGTTACACGCGCAAAACTCACATACACACGCACTACCACCATCGCACACACAGGTCACAAACAAGCTAGCACACACAAAAACACAACATCCACTCTCTCTCCCTCTCTCAACCAACATGCACCGCAACACACTCACGGATACGGCACAACAGTTTTTGTTATGTTACCAATTTAGTACAAAGAATTCACACTACATGCATCAGATGCCACTATGCGGCTACAAACATATCACTCGGTGTGTAGTGTATAATTGTAATATCATACATCAAGCACACACACACACAAAGAGTGTTTTCTGGATCATAGACCCGACAAATGATGGGTCTGATCTAGTGACACGCGCACGCACGAGCACACGCACACGCAACAGCACATAGAGTTGCGACATCTTATGAGACACAATATGATATGGCACGTGACCATTGTATTGGGTGCTAGCAACGCACACGCACATACACATACACATACAGCATACATACACATACCCACACACACAAGCACCACACACACATGTCAATATGACACACACACACACACACACACAACCACAACACACACACTAACACATACACACACACACACACACACACACACACACAACACACACACACACACCACACCACACATATATATATATATATATATATATATATATATATATATAATATATATATATGTATATATATGTATATATGGATGATAAGACGGATACATGTTTTTTCACACAAGTGCACACAGGTGTCACCACCTACTTGTCCATCCAAACGCACGTACACAGACACAAGCAGACACGTATACACAGACATTACATCCCCAGACATGCACCTTACACATGACAAACTCTTTTATGGCTACTCAGCAGGAGTCTGAGTTCACACTTGCTGTCACGCCCTCTACTAAACGAGAGCTTCCAGATACCGCCAGACAGATAATTCCACACTTTCCTTTCTTGGATATTTTCGTTACACTTGGAATATTAGAAGTTCGCAATGCGTAAACGTTTTTTTTAATCGTTATAGTTGTCTCCAGTTGGAAGTGTTTCACTTCGTTTTTTTTTCAACAATTGTGTTTTCTCAAGAGGCTGATATTTAATTCGAAATACGAATCGATACAATTTTAATTAGGTAGAGCACCAAAAGATCTCATTTTCAGTAGTCTAACACTGTCTCAGTTATTTTGAAGTACTTTTCTTTGGGGTCTTTTAAGTGCCCACGGTGGACATTTTAGAAGTAGTCGCCTTAATAAACTGAAGAAAAAAAAAATAAACATAATGATCTGTGGTACAACTCATGACGTCACAACGAACGTCATGCTGACGTCACATTATAGTGCTGAGTAAGGGCAATATAATGTGACAGTTCGTACATGACGCGAAATAAATGATTCGTATGTGACACTAAATAAATCTTGAGTCTTTAAATTCCTGAATTGTCTGGCTCATGAATTTGTCTGGCTCATGACACCCACAATACTGTCTGGCTCGTGACACCCACAATATTGTCTGGCTCATGACACCCACAATACTGTCTGGCTCATGACACCCACAATACTGTCTGGCTTATGACACCCACAATATTGTCTGGCTCGTGACACCCACAATACTGTTTTTTATGATGCTCATAATACGATTAGTCAGCAAAGTGATAATCAGATTATCATATAATCCATTGGTTTAGTTTTTCTTTCAACTTGCATAAAAAAATAGACATACAAAATCGTCAGCATGCTTATATAAGTTAATTACTTAAAGTCCTGTATCACCATGACAATATTTTTTTTTGTATTGTAAAAAATATTTTTTTTCCACAGCAACTCATTAAATAGTTCAAAATGGTGTATATTCAGCAATAATATGCATTACAAACCTATTTACAAGAGCAGGTGAATATTATATTTCCTTTCTCTATACACAAAGAATTTTTTTTTTACACCCATTTAATGAATGACAAAAGGCTTAAAAATCTGTAATTATTTTTATCAGGTGTCATTGCATCAATCGTATTCCATATTACATCAAACTTTTTCGTCTTCATTACCATTTACTTGTTCTTTTCTGCTATTATTTCTTATTCATCATTATTGATCAGTTTGAGGAAAAATATTCTCCACTCATGCATTTTTCTGCACGATCATGACATGTTTACTTACAGTGCTTATTGTCATTATTACGTTACTCATCATACGTAATCCTTATCACTGAGCCTAGCGTTGATATGGGTAAATGTTTCTCCTGTAATACAGTAAAATAATTCTAATTCTAAATCTTCATTAAATAAAGACTTGTTTTCAAAAGCAGGAGAAATTTTAATACTAGGTTACACAATGTATGTTTCAATTCACAAAAGATATTCATTTGAAAATAGAATAACAAATTCTTATCTGAAGTAATCAATTCTTCTTACAATGTGACACCATCTCGATTTCAAATAACGTTCATAAGTTGAGATGCCAGGACAGAGAAACCGCTGGTCTGAACATATTATATTTGGACTAATACAGCATTACATTATCTTCTCTTACTAAGTCATTATTTTAAATGTTCACTTACTGTACACTCCTCACAAATACACAATGCCTGGTCACAAAGATGCAAAAAACATTAACAATCAGGAACAAGGTACAGCAGATTATTAAAATATCAAACAACATATTATGAACTTAACAAATACCCATAAAAAAATAGAATGATGTATAAATTTGATTGAATTAAAATTGCAGTGCATTATAAATACTGACTGATATGAGAAAGAAATGTATGTATGTAAACAATGACATTTTTTACGGCAAGGCAAGTCTAGAGGGTCAAAGGCCCATGAAAGTGCGAGTGATTTGAATACAGCATGAGCCAATCTTCAAGGGGAGCGTGAGACAAGGCTTGAAGGCAAAATATATAAACAGATAAATTTAAGAAACATGAGAAACAAGATGCAACAAGAACAAAAAAATGTGAGTATAAGATAACATGCTAAAAATATATTTACAAAGAAAAAATTATATGTACCTGAGGGTTAAGTAAACAGAGCAGAAATGGGTTTTCATGGGGCATTTCTTTACTATCTATGACTTTGGGGAAAGAAGGCTATAAATGAGGGATTGTGATGGTTCCTGTCAAGATACACACTCACTCTCCCCTCACCTACACAAATGACAGCACTTCTCTTCCTCTAAATTTGCATAATTCAAATAATTTTGTAAGTCAGATAGAAAACAGGAGTATTTCTCCTGACCAAAATACTTAGTTCTTCCAATATGTATGTTGAGGAGCATGAAAGTTATTTGATACTCAGAATATATATACAATGGGAACAAATAACAATATCTTTTATTATTCCATTACTGAACCAACCATATCTGTAACAGATACCATAATTCCAACAAAAATATATATTAGAATATTGCTAAAAAGCCATCACACATGATTTTGGTGCACACTCTGAAATGACCAAATGTAGCCAGTCTGAGACATGACGAAACAAATTTTGATTACTGATTGTGAAATCCACTTGCCATGAACCTCCTGCAGATTATAAGAGGTAGTTCCATCTGCCTCCACAAACCCTTTTTATATGCCCACTGAACTACTGGAAAAACAGTTCAGATCAAGGGCAAAGCTACTGCCTATAATGAGGAATGGTAGTGCGTCTTAGTAGAATATGAAAAATGGTTAACGGCTGAACTGTGAGGAATGGTCTTAGTTAACCACTGAAAATTGTGAGGAATGGCTTAGTTTAACCGCTGATTTGTGAGGAATGGTTCGACTACCATGGAATATTGGACATGGTCTGGTTGCTTTAGATACATGTGAGGGACTGCTCGTTACCTTAGATGATGCGGCTTGAGATATCTGGATGGAGGATTACTGATGATTGTGATATGAACTGAAATTGTGGATACAAAATCATCAGCATTATATTATGCTCAACAGATATCAGTAATATCAAGAAATTCATCACAATAATGACTATGAATGGAACAAAGTGAGACTTACGAGATAAAAAAAGCATTAAAATGTATCATCAGTAACAAACTGTAGCTACTTCTGTTTTTCTTCTTTCATTGGGTCTTTCACGTGAGTCTATTTTGTTACTTGTTTGGAGTTTTATCCATTCTTTTACATATTTCACATGCCATGGAGATATTTTGACTGATACTTTAGTATATTAAAATCTCCCATTTCTTTTTCACAGAACAGTAAATGATACATTTTCTCTACAATTTATAACCCTAGTTCAAAGACCACAAAATGCGTATATTGTCTTTTTAGTAGTCCTTGTAAACAAATAATGCATAACTATACTTCATGAAACTTCTCTTTCAAATTTCTACCTAACCAGTTTCACAAATATGTCAAACAAGCAACTGACTCTGAACTTTTTTCTTTTCTATACTGCTTTCTTCAGTAAACAATGTTCAACACACAGAGCATATCCATTTATCATACATTTTCTCAGGTGTTCAACAACAGATAAGCTAAGTAATCACTACAGTTTCACATAACAGGTAAATCAGATTCATGATCAACTGCACAGTTTAATGGAATGATTCTATACACAAATAGAAAAAAAAATAATATTAAAAATAAATTCAGAAAATAATACCAAAACAAACAAAAAATAAAGAAAAAAATACTTGGAAAGTAGAGATGCCAAAAACCAACGTAGCAAGCAACAGAGAAGTTTTAAATACAACATTCTTATCAGTTAATGAAATTGTCATCTGATCAACATACATATACCAATCTGTTCTCTCTACGTAAGTTTTTGCCAGAAAGATGTTTCTTTTTTTTTTCTTTCTCTCTGTGTTGCCCACGATATCTTTGGCACTCTTCCCCCATTTGTGGGTTAGCCCTCAAGGGAGGAATAAATGAAGCCGCTGCTTGTTCTGTTTAACACTGGTGCTTTCCATATTTACAACTGTGCTAACTTAATACACGCGTTGAACTCAAAAAATGAGCGTAGTTGGTACTTGAATATCAAGCTGTTAGAACTGAAGCAACAAAGAACTATACCTGGAATGCATGTGAGTGCCTCTAATATGCAACACGTGTTATGTTCAACAGCTGGAGCAAAGGAAAATAGAAATCTATCTCTAGACAAGAAATGAAAATAAAAAAATAATCATAACAATCATAAAAATAAGAGAAATCTTTTAAAAACAGTCTACTATATCTACTAGATCATCACTATTCATTTTGTTCCACAGAGGGTGATGGCATGAGATCTATTAGGATACTTAACGGCATTCCTGAAAGGGTCAGCCTCTAGTGCCGAAACAAAACGGGAACACAGGCTATCACAAATCTTAGCTCAATCTAAAAGCACACAGTTTGAACTACATATGATCCCAGATGATAACATTAACCTGCTAACATTTTGGTCATTTTATTATTTCAAAATGAGCAGCCTCAGAAACATAGCAGAGAATACGCAAATTCCACCAACAACAGTAATGTCAACAGTCTTGCATCCGTTAACAATCTGTAAGTCTCATCTATTTCAGACATAACAAACTGTTACACAAACATCATCATTAGATATTAGCAATATGTGAATAATGAGAGAGAAACCTAGTCTAGATCCATCACTTAAAAGATACGCAACTTAGAAGGAGTCTCTCTACCTTCAATGTAATTACTCGTAGCTAATGATGTTACATCTACATTTCCCAGTAAATAATTGACTTTCTTAGAACTGCGGGAAAAATGAGATGAGAAAAAGAAGACGAAAGAATCGTTCCGTGCTAAACATTATCCACTTCTATTCAAAATGCCGAAATGTTACAGGTCTAGTGATTTAGTTTTATCTGAAAGCCATGTGCATTTCTGGGAAACAGGGGGATAAGGAGGGAGGAGGGAGGGAAGGAGTGGGGGGCTTAGGAAGGGATGTGGGCACAGATTTTTTTATTTCAACTATGACATGAGTAGTTTTCTGATCAAGATGTTAATAAACTAATCTCAGAATTTCCTATAGCTGATCTTAAAATTCTCTTTGCAATTAATTCGTAATTTTCAAAAGTACATGACTTCTCATAAAACCAGCACTGTTTTTACTGTACTCAAGTCTATAATTACCCTAAATGAAAGCTTCCAACCAATGACACTTACCAGCAAAAAAAGGTATATCTTCTTATTACTGGTTCTAAATGGAAATTTGTTTCAATGCTTAAAGTCAAGTTAGAGAATGCTGGCTCAAACTAGGCAAGGTTACTGCAGAGCTCATTTCATCTTTGCCCTGAGGTCTATTTTCTCAAATAAATGGTATGTTCACTAAACTTCTCTAGATGAATGCAGTTCTATGTAGGGAGTGGACATACTCAAGGCTGTCTAGGTCACCTCCAGAATTTGTTTTCCATGAAGCCACTGGCTAATAACCACGTCTCACTCACTTGGATCCTACAAGGAGAATGATCTTCCCTTCTCAATTTACAACCTACATTTTTTTTTTCCTGTTATCACGTTATATTAACAGCACAGGGATACACTACTGTTAATCTCTCAACTAACACAACCACCAACCTGTTCAACAACGCAAACAAACACTAATCACATGTCAGTCAGAACAACAATCACAACTCACCAACTAAATTTAATCTATGCTCAATAATTCCTCAGACAGACCAGTCGGCCCTAATTCACCGTTCTTCGTTTACCATTTGTATGTTTTCCTTCACTGAACTGGCAATGATTGAGATTCAGATTAATATTCATACACAGTATTATTCCACTAGTAACTCTATACTTTCAAATTTCTGTTCAATTTCTACATGGAACGATAGTTTTGAAATATGGAGTTTTAATTTATGACAAGTGTCAGATATTCATTTAAATAAATTACTAAACAAACTGTTAAAAGGACCACGTCTTCACAAAACAAGTGATGGAGATTTCATTTCCCTTTACATCTTTTTCACTTTCAGAACTAAAAAAATAAATAATATACTCTAACTTTTGTGAAGTAATGGGACTAGTATTTATACATTATTGTCAGATCTGAACAAGTAGCAGAACTCATTTCACTTGACAAAGGGAGTACACTGGAATTTCATATTTGGAAACAATTCAGCATTACAAGAAATATTGCAAATGCAACAGTATTTATCATATTCAGTCAATGACAGTAATGTATCCAATGGAGAACTTAAGTTACTCATAACAGTTGTTTTATCAACTAAGTACCATTCACCATGACAAATATGGTAAATGATAATGGAATAAAATAAAATATAATAATGATATCATCATTACTATCAAAATATAGCATCAGTATAATCATTATATTAATGGTAACTATAACAACAACAACAAAAGTTTTAAACATGCTTATTTGCCATCACTTTTACCTTAATATTTTGATCAAAAGCCACGCCAGGTAAAATAAGAGTTACTTTGTTATTAACAGCAGGGAAACAAAGGATACATTTTCAATAGAGAAGTAAGAAATAAAAAGAAGAAAACAATAAATACTATATAAATGATAACAAAATATTTTCACAAAGCCGAGATTCAAAATCTTTAGAATGAAAAGTCCTTCACTCCTTTATTCACCAGCATGTCTGTATGAGTCTCTACATTAATAACTTATGACTCCTCGAGTCTTGTCTTTTTGTATTTTTTTACTAGTCAGCCCTAGATATTTTTTCATGTCTTATCCTATCTTCTAATTACTACCTCTTTCTATATTCTTACTCTTTTCATCTATTTTTTTGTATCATGTTAAAAGTGGGGTTGAAGATTTTTTTTTTCTAATTGAAAGTGAAGACTGAACTGTCAGTTGATAATACTGAATGCATGCTTTATTCCCAAGACAACTCTATTCAATATAACAATTCTGCAAACATGATTAACAAGTTTCTCATGATGGAAGTGGAGGACACGTTTCAGATCACGAAGCCATATCCTCATAGAGATATAACAAAGAAACAACTAGGATTTTTGATTTGGGAAAAAAAAGTACTCGTATTTCACCAACTCAGAAAGTAAAGAGCAGGTTTTCCAGATGTCATAACCTTGACACACGTTCACTGTCTCCCCTTACGACTTATTTGCTCTCCTCCCTATTACTTATGAATGTACTGGATGCAGGTCAATGAAATCAACGACTGCAATAGACCCAATATTTCCTGTAGTGCTGAATGATCGACCTCTCGACTTGAGTGGGTAGTCCATCTTCGTCTGGGAGCTTGTATTTTTCTGCATTGCCAGTGTGGAGTGCCTTGTGTATTTATTCGCCCTTCGTTCCTCGCACCTCGCCAACCTGTCTTTGCTGGAAGGTTCAAGAAAACCTTAGAATTGCAGGTCAAGTTTGCAAAGTGATTGCATAACTGATTATTGCTTGCCATACTCTTAAAAATAAGAACACAAATGAGTAACACTATTTTGATGGAGACTCACTTTCTACAATCTGATTTTAATGAGTAAAGTATAAAAAAAATAATAAACGACCAAGTATTAATATTTACATGTCAGTTACGTGCATTCTATAATTTTCAGACATTTATAAAAGGGTTCCTCTCATGAAACAAAAGAAAATTACACCTTTACAAACTGTTAACTGTCTGACTTCATTCAAAAATGGGATAACACTGTGAAATCAAAGTAATCTTATTTCTAAAATTATGAAAAAAGGTAAAAAAAAATAATAAAAAATAAATAAATAAAAAAAATAAATAAATAAAAAGTAAAAAACAAACAATAATTGCTTAACCCAAAGACTGATGGCATTACATATATGAGCCATCACATGTAATCTTAGTTTATCAATTGCAATTACACGAGGATGGTTCCACAAGTGCTTAGACACCAAGTTAATCACTAGTCCTAATTACCTCTCCTGTTTACCCTTTTCCTTGATTTTTGGAAAGATTAATTTTCCTTACCTTAAATAATATTATAATAATCAGAGTAATAGTATCAATATTAACAGCTTTAGAAGAAGAAAGTAAAAAAAGAATTTAAAAATATGAAGAAAGAAAGAAAAAAATTGGATGACGAAGAAGAGAGAAAGAAAAAAAGAAGGAAAAAAAGAAAAGAAGAAAAAAGGAAAAGAAGAAAAAAAAAGGAAAAAAAAGAGAAAAAAAGAAAGAAAGAAAAAAAGAAAAAAAAAGAAGAAAAAAAAGAAAAAAGAAAAAAAGAAAGAAAAGAAAAAGAAAAAAGAAAAAAAAAAAGAGAAAAGAAAGGAGAAAAATCCAGCAACTTCCAGGAACAGCGAAATTACGAATAATCCCCAGGACCTACTGCCTCGGTGGCTAAGCACACGTGGAGCTATCTGTGTGCAACAAATTCACTAAAAGCTAAGGTGGACAGTACACTACCCTGCAGTGAATGGAAAAAAAATAAAAAAGGAAAAAAAGAAAATGAAAAAGAAAGAGAGAAAGAAAGAAAAAATAAAAAGGACAAAAGTAAAAAAAAATTCAAGATTATACTGCATTACTCTGCATCTTAATTCTGTATCTCTATTGGAAATAAAATACCTCACATTACATTATTTTTGTTCATATCTAAACCACACCAAAATAATAATAAATTTCTAAATTTATAACCAATAAATATCTAAATTAATAACCAAATATGATAAAATAAAATATACACATATAAAACAATCATATACAATTAAACAAAACACAATAAAAACACAATACTGTTAGAAAAGGAAAAAGAACAATAAATTGACCCCCCCCCCCAAAAAAAAAAAAAAACACCATGACCCCGTGATTTAAAATAGCCCCGAGCCAATACCTGGTCAAGTTCTTCCTTTGTCTTGTCTTCCAATCGCCGAATGTCTTCCATGGTCAATCCGTGCCATCTGTCCATCCAGCAGAAAACTTGCCTACAAAAGACGTGCAGAAAATTGATTATCAAAGAAAAAAAAAAGAAAAAAAGTGAGAGGTGATTACAATGGTCTAAACTTCAGCTGAATTAACTCTCTTGAAAATGAAATGAATTAGCATTTTCACTTTTGATTTGCTGTTTGTATTCCAAATCAATTTTTTTAAAAGATAAATGATTCCTCTTCTATCTAGATTGAAAAGTTGGTTTCAGTAAATCAACTTCCACTTCACGAGCATCATCAGTTCTATAAATCTAAATCAAAATCCACTCTCACCTATGGAAATTGGTGAAAAGTCTTCGTTCAACATCCTGAATAAACTTCTCAATGCGAGTCTGGAGTCCGAACCACTTGAACTCGCATGTCACCAGCTTGTAACAGGTCATGACGGGATCACACTGGAGGAGAGATACAACAATGAGGAAATGCAACTGTTGTATAATACATATTTCTTTTTCTTAGTACACTTTTTTTGAAGTTAAGTCCCAATACCTTCTTGTCCCTTAACAAATATATCAACTATATTTTATTCTTAAAAGACATTTTATCTTTTATGTGTATATCAATTGTTAAAAAAAAATTCAGTGCTGTTCTTTATGATATTCTTTCTCACTCTTCTTCCCCATTCTCAATTTTTATCCACTATTCTCTCTCTATCTATATCTTTTTGCATTACCATTACCATATTTACCTTTTTGGTTGTTCTGGACCAATCTATCTAATTTTCTCCATCAGTCTCAATGCTCCAACCCATCTTTTCTTCTTCATCACTCTTACTCTACCTATCTACCCTCCTCTATCATTTTCAGTCAACCCTTTGCCACCATTTACCCTTTACTGTTATATGCTTCTTCATCACTCTCACTCAACTATCTACTCCTCATAATTCTCACTCTACTTATTTACCATTCTCCATCAATCTCGTCCTCTATTTCAAATCCTTCTCCACCAATCTACTAATTTACTCTTCAACAATCTCATCATTTTGTTAACCCATCAATCCTTCATTCTCACTCTTTTTATTAACTGCGTTCCACTATACTCAACCTTTTCCTTATTTATTTTATCATCCATTTCTTCTCACCCCTTTATCAACCATCATTAAATTTCTTCACCTTTTTAATCAACCATCATCCCTTTTGCTTAATTCACCTATGAGCTGTTCATCTTTATGCTCCCCCTCCTTTCAACCTTTCACTGTTTTTCACATCCTTCTGTTGACCCTGTTCTTCACCCCCAGCCACCAAGCAAGTATTCCTAATCACCTAACAATACATCAAAAACACAAGCCTCCTTGACATTCCTTCGCAGACTATGTTTCGGGCTCACCTTCTTCCACCACTGGGGTCCTACCAGAGGTCCTCGCCCTGTCTTCTCCGATTTGAACTTCGTGGGATCTTCAGAGGGCTTGTAGTCAGCTGGCTTGACTGGGTCGTTGCTGATGTCAATGGTCACAACCTCTCGCATCTTCAGCTTATCTCCAGTTAGTTCGTGGGCCTGGAGAAAAGGTGTTAGAGATTGGGGGAACAGATGCTTTCCCGGGTGTCGGGTTAGGGTGTGACTGTAAATCCGTCAAAGCTACTTTTTGGTCTGCTTATTTACTTTGTTTATCTTTCATGAAATTAAAAATTGAGAGAGAAAATAGAAATGACTTTATTTTTCATATCCATCTTAGAAAGTTTCAGTGAAGTGTCTTTAAAGGGTTATGATACCTATTAGATAGTTGTTACTGCAATAGCTTTCAATAGTAGTAATGCAGGTAATGGGTTATTTGAGCTTGTCACAAGTGTCAATTAAAGCTTGTAGCTAGCACCTCCTTTATGTATCTAACCAGAAAGCATAACTAAAACACAACTACAGTGTACCATGTGGCACAATTTTGTTATGTGAGATAGACTAAATCAACAGCAATAAAACAGAAGATGAAGATGGAAAAACAAAAATACATTACACTCAAGAAGAAAAAACATGACACGGCTAAAGAAAAAGAAGTAAATATCACGTTTCCAATCTAAACATAATCAAATATTCAACAAACAATAAACTAGGAAAAACGAAAAACACACCACAGTGAAATCAACCCAAACTTAAATAATCAAGGGTGTTAATTTAGTTATTCTTGAGCATTCCTCATATACCCAGTGTGATCTTACTAGATTGTATCATTATAATACACTATGTAATAATAAGCATAAATCTTGTAGTGTTATATGATCTGTGATTTTAAATGTATACCTTCAACAGTATTTTGATTTTGAATTCAATATAAAGTGTATTTGCATAAATTGAAATTTTCTAAAAATTATATATATATATTAAAGAAAATCCAATGTAACCTATCCCTCTTTCTTTTTTAACTATTCTCTGTTAAGGCATTGACATGTGAAAATGTGTAAGAGAGATCAGAAATATTTCACAAACTGGAAAAAAAAATAATAAAAAAAATTCAAACGTCACAAGAGACTGGCACGAAAACTCACGTTCTCCGTCGTCCCCATGTCAGCAACGTGAAGGGTCTCAATGGAAATGACAAAGTTTTTCTTCATATAGCCTGGGTTCTGTCATGCAATTTCCAAAAGAGGAGAGAAATATATAAAAAAGATGTGATAACACTGATCAAAGGGACCGTGGCTGTCAAGGGTGGAGAGAGAGAGAGAGAGAGAGAGAGAGAGAAAGGATGGGGATGAGGGTGGGAGTGTAAGACTAAAGTGTTTAGGTGGAGTAAGATCTAGCAACTCAGGAAGCCTAAGAGTGAGCAGGAGACCCGGCAGCTGTGATGATCATTCTTAAAAGTGCTATTAAGTGTTACCAAGTAGTGGCTTCAGTGAATGTGGTTATGGTTAGTCATTGAGTATGCAAAAGATTTGTTCAATGTCTTTTTCTTTATAGTTATACAGTACTGAAAGACTGATTAAAGTTTTGCTTAACCCTTTGGCTCCAATGGTGACCCTGTTCGCATTACGGCCGCAAGGAGTTTCGCCACAGTCTGAATCTGTCAATAACCTCCGTGACAGATTAGTCATGAGTTGTCCACCACCGTAAGCTAGAGCAGCCACTTGGAGGGGTCTTTGATCCAGAAAGATTTCTAATGAAAATTTCACAGCTCTGTTTTCTCTTTAGAGATATTCGACTAGTGAATAACCTTCTTTTGAGGACCTCATACTCAAGATGTAGTTCTTTATTTCACTGCATTTTATTTTTTTTCTTCTTCTTCTCTTTCTTTTCACCACTATCAAAATCTACAGGACTCAACTAAAACACCCATGAAAAGAACAAATATTTTGCTCTATATGTAACTGGCTTAACATATAAATCCTGCACGACAGGTGGGTCTGTAAGCTGAAGATAAAAAGTACTGTATATGCCGCGGCTATTGTTGCTGATGTGAGGTGACTGGGAAGAACCTTGTTTAATAAGCACAAAGGTTCGTAAAATACTATATATTTTCATCTCAGCAGAAAAATGCAGATGTCATGCAAAATGAGCTAACAGTTCAGACAAAGGACAAGAGATATATGTATATATATATATATAAAGAAAAAGGGAAAAAAAAAGGTATGACTTATTTTCTCAGGAAAGGCCAGCCAACATCAGATTAACAACACAAGTCTTGCATGAGGATAAGCATAATAAGGAGGAAGATGAACAAATAATATGAGAACAAGGAATGGACACCACAGACCAGAGGGGCAATTCTTCATTTGGTTTCTTCTTAATATCTTGGTCCCTCGATTCCCATTTATGTCTACCTTTACTTTACATAGTCTCTGTTTCTTTTTCAGATATCCATTAATATCAAGCTTGAATTATTATCAATCATCTCTATACCCATCTTTATATCATTCTTTATCTATTTTCCCTCTGACTTTCATATGCAATCCCTCCACTCATATCCCTGTTGCTCCATTCTTCCCATTGTTAAATCTCAATCGTCCTTTGGTCTGCCACCTTCCCCCCTCCCTCCCATGCCCCCCTGGAGGGTTACTCCATTCCGAGCTCAGGAAATTATGTAAGTCTGTGCTGTGGATGGCAACAGGTTAGGATGGCTACCGCGAGCCAAGCAGAGCGAGCCATGGACATGCGGCAATGCATGGACTGCGCCACTCACATTCTCCAAATCACCATGGCCTGGGGCATGGAGGGTCTCAATTGTGACGTAAAAGGCATCCTTCATGTAACCTGGGTTCTGAAACGTAACTGTCTGTCTGACTCGCATGACACATTAGAGGGGAAGTGAGGCAAACTTGTAATCATGGGATAAGTGTAAATCTTTTTATTCTTACAAGACACTGAAAGTATGAAATCATAAGCATCTTTATCATAAAACAAATCAAGTTTTTCATGCGGGCTTATCTTATTTATGAACAATCAGTCTTGCAAATTACGGAAACCATGGTTAACAAGTTGACACTCATGTCACTTGGGAAACATTCATAAATGACTTAATGAGTTTTATTTCTATGGATACATGTTCTGTAACTGAGAACATGAAATAATAAATACTTGTATCAGTTCTGCTATTATCATCTCACTATCTCTAATATCATCACTAACATATTCTTTTCTCATATACTGACAAAAACTGCAATAAATATAGAGAATTACACATGTGATACAATATTATTCTATAAATACCATGGATTTCTTTAAACATCCTTTACTTTCATTTTACACTGAAGAAATCTTGTACAGAAGCAGAAAGTAAAAAAGATATCAACTTTATCTTTATATAGTATCTCAATGTCTAAATAAATGAATCTGCAGGCAATGATAAGCTACAGTAATACTAAGAACAATTCTATACATCTTTCTCAAGATTTCAATACTTCATATTTTTTATCACAATATATTTCCTACACTGATGTTACCTATGTAACCAATGTAACAGCTGATGTAACCAATGCAAAATGCATTGTAACTTTTTTTGTTAAATTCATAATGAATATGAAAAAAAAAAAAAAAAAAAAAAAAAATCCTATCTTATAACATTATGCAAAAAATATCTACACTATTATTTGCCCACGTAGACCAAATTGCCCTCTTCATTAAGGGCCGTACTTTAAAAGTCTACTGCCACCACTGGCGCTGGCATCCAAGTGGTGGTGGACCAGTTTCGTACTTTAAACACCCGAACTTCGAACACCTGGAGCTCCAATGACTCGAACTGGCGTTATATTATTGGAACCTGAGTGGCGGTGGAGCGCCAGCATGAATGTGTCTTTCATGGTGGCGTTCGACAATGTTCTTCTATACTGTTAAGCCTACATTAAACGAATATTGATTTCATAATAGGCAAAATGACATAGAAAATTTGGATGGTGTTTTTATGATCATTTAGCAATTATTTTAAAATCAAAATATTTTGAAAAGACTTTACTGTGTATGTTAGAATCTGT